CTTAATATATGAAATTCTATAGATTCACCAGAATTGGAGAGTCAATTTGAATGATAGAAAACAAAGAAGTGTGTTGAAAACACCATGAAGTTTAGTGTCATACAGACCTGGATTTAGAGCATGGTGCTGTAGAATAAACACTGGATTACTAATTGCAAGGTTGGTGGTTCAGCTCTATCGCATTTCCTTGGTAAACCCTATGAAGGGTCGCTAGGAGTCAGAACTCGATGGCACTTAACAGCAGCAACAGCAACAATAACTTAGTCTCCTTGATCGATCGGGTTTTGTGGGTGTGTGTGTATATTTATATATATGTCAATTGTTCTTTTATCCCAATAGAAATTATATTATCATTTATATACCTTTTTCTTATTATGAAAGCAATACTTGTTTTAAAAATATCAACAAGAAACAATAAAGGCAAATTAGCATATAAATTTCAACCTAAATATAATTCATATTAACATAGTATTTCTTTTTAGCCTTTCCCCCATGCATGCACACATTCATTTATTCATTTCCAAATGTACTGTATGCTGTATAGTTTTGAATCCTGAGATTTCATTAAATTAAATCATATTTACGCATTTCTAAATATTTTTTCAACTTTTTATTATGGATTGAGTGAAGGTTTATAGAGCAGATCATCAGTTTTACATTAAAAAAATCATATACACTGCTTTATAAACATCATATACATGGTTGCTATTCTCTTCATGTACCAACAGTTAATAGTATTTACCTCTATTCACTTCAACTACTGCATTCCTCCCTGCGTCTCCTGCTACCTTCATCTTTCCGCTGCTAACCTCCCTTTTGTTGTATATTACCTGCCCTGTCACCCATGTTGACATGTGTTAGAGTGAATAATTTTCCCTCCCCCTCCCCAACCATCATAGTTGTTTCTTTTATCAAGAAGCCCTTTTTCAGCTTTTTACAACATTGGTCTCATACAATGCTTGTTCTTTCATGACTGACTAATTTCACTCAGCATAATATCCTCCAGGTTCAACCATGTTGTGAGGTGTTTCACAGGTTCATCATTATTCTTCAACGTCAAACCCTAAATTTTAATGGCTACATAATAGTGTGGTACTGTCGGATAAGCACTGGACTGCTAACTGCAAGGTCAGAGCTCAAACTCACCCTCTGCTCCTTGGAAACCTATATAGGGTCACTGTGAGTCAGAACCAACTTGATGGCACTTAATAACAACAATAATAATAATATAATAGTAAT